GCCTATTGAACCTTGAGTGTATGCCACGTGGAAGATAACGTGGGGCTCACAGCTACGAGCCTCACGGAACTGGCTCAAACGTTTGGTTCAGCTTTTTATCCACGGATCACAATGCTTGATCTACCAGGAATTTAATCCAACGAGCCTGCGAGATTTTCTCCAAGCCGCACCTTAGATGTGAACAGCGGTGGTGACATGGCAACTGCGACTCCATGAAGTGTATTTCGGCATCTTCCGCGGCTCAGATTCGTGGAAGGAATCGATGGCGTCCATTGCAGGACACGGCGGAGGCCCACATCCATCCATCCATTGCCCATCCAACATCGGATGGATCATGGCATGTGGATGCGAGGAGCCACACCGCACCACGCGTTCTCCGCGTATCCACCCACCAACCAGCCAAGCCCAAGGCAAGGACAGCGCAGCGTCACATCAGCGGCCAAGGCACGAGTGGAGGCACAGTGGAAGGCAGGCCCACCCTCCCCCAGGGTGCCCACTGCCCAGCCCGCCCGCACCTGCCTTCCTTCTCGGTTATCTCTGGAAATAAGCACCCATATAGAAGCCATTGCGTTAGCCAAGAATGCACAAGAGTATACTTGCTTCTATCATCCCTTACACAAAGACCCATTTTGCTCATCCGTCGACTCCTCGCGTTAGGATCTTGTCTGCGGTTCTCCGGCTCGTACTCGCCACCACGTGTTGGGTTCTTAAATTTTGAAACCGATAAACGATTAAACTTGTCAGATACGATATCGCTGAAGGCTCTCTACCATGGCGTGCCATCTTCAGCGACCTTTTCTCTTCGGAGCTCATGAATCGTGCCGTTTCTCCACCCGTTCTCCAGTCAACGCTCTTTCAAACCAGCGGCGCGTAGTTCCTCGTCTCGCCAGCCGTTCGTAACCATTCGCAGCCAAGGCGATGCGCATTGCAACTCAGCAGCCAATGATTATCTGCCAGCAGAGCGCGCAATCCCTCTCATCCGTTCCACGTCGGCAACCCGGCCGCATCGGGCCCACAACGAGAGCAGCTGGGACTATACGGGGACGCGAAACGCGTAGCAGGTGCAAACAGGGAAGTGTTAACTGGGCTCGATTGCGCAACCAAATCGGCGTGACCTCCGTGAGCGCAGCATCCGTTTCTTCCGCGCATAGGCGGAAGGAGGTGCGCGGATTCGTGGAGGAAGACGCGTCGCAGTGCGGGACCGGCGGAGACCAGAGCGATGCGGAGTCAAAGCGCGCGGAGTTCGAGGCAGGATGGCAGAGTGGTTCCGAGGGATCAATGCCGCTGATGGCGGCGCCGGATGCGGCGCCAGGCGCGGCGAAAAGCTGTTCTCCCAGCGACGAGTTCGCGTGTACGATTGCCGGATGCACCCACGTCCACAGCAACGTAGGCTCCATGCGGAGGCTAGGAAACCTCTCAGAAACCTCCTTCCGAGCAGCTCCGCTGGCGGAATCCCGGCCTGTGCAGAGCGGTACCAAGGTTTTACCTGGGTCAATTTCTGTCGCAGCTGCTGCCGTACGTGGTGGTGGCGACGGCGGTGTCGGCGCTGACGTGCCGGCGACGTTCGCGTGGTTCAGCAAGCAGTACTACGCGCCCGCACTGGGCGGCATCATGCTCTCCATCGGCGTGCAGCTCTCCGTCGAGGACTTCAAGGCCGCCATTGAGAAGTAAGGCGCGAATTGATTGGATTTGAATGGCTGACCACCTCTTTCCATGCTGCAATGTGCTTCTCCCATTCCGCACTCCGCTGCAATAGAATGAGATCAAATGCCTCCTCATCTGGCTCCGTCAGCTGTCTCCCATTCCCGCTCTTCAACTGTCTCCACTCTGGCTGTCCAGCACTTTTAGCACCGTTGCTCACTGCTTTCCGCCCCACTCCTCCCCTCCCCCGCCAGGCCCGTCACCGTCCTCCTGGGCCTCCTAGTGCAGTATGCAGTCAAGCCGCTCATCGCGGCCGCCATAGCCACCTCCTTCCGCCTGCCGCCCGCGTTCGCCGCGGGCTTCCTCCTCACCGCCAGCGTCTCCGGCGCGCAGCTCTCCAGCTACGCGTCCTACCTGGCAAAGGCTGACGTGGCGCTCTGCATCGTTCTCACCAGCCTCAGCACCTTCGCCTCCGTGGCACTCACGCCCATCCTCACCTCGCTCCTGATTGCTCAGCCGTCCCGGTCGACCTCCTAGCCATGGCCAAATCAATCCTGCAAGTCGTCATCCTCCCGGTCTCCCTCGGGCCTCATCCTGAACACCTACGCACGGAAATTCGTCGATCAAATCCGACCAATCATGCCGCTGCTAGCCATAGTCTGCACGTCTCTCTGCATAGGCAGCCCGCTAGCCATCAACCGCTCTCAATCGTCTGCCTGAGCGGCCTCCTGCTGCTGCAGCCTGTCCTCGCCTTCCACCTCGCGTCCTTCGCCGCTGGGTTCTGGTCCGCGAAGCTCCCCGGAATGGCGCAGAGCGATGACGTGGCGAGGGACGTTATCCCTATGCGGGGGCATGCAGAGCAGCACGCTGGCCATGCTGCTGGCGTCTCAGTTCCTCGGCTCCACCCACACGGTGCCTGCCTCGGTCTCTGTTGTGCTCATGTCTATCATTGGGCTCAGCCTCGGAAGCTTCTGGGGCGGGAAGGAAGCTTCTGGACTGGAACTTGTCTGGGCCTGGTGGGGGGCGCAGGCATACACTGCTCCTTCTGAGGCGTAGCGGGGGGGCAATGCTATGGATACATTAGAGAATGACCGGGCAATGCTACAGCGTTGCTTGTAGGATAGCTTGTAGCAGCTGCACAGGAGAGCGCAAGCTGGAAGGTGGAGCTGAAGACAAGTGCCGGTATCAAGAAGGATAACAAATGTCAGTTGCTGCCTGTCACGTGTAGTGTTTGGTGGCCATTCTTTTTTGGCATGGTTGTGTACCTAATATGCAGCCATGTACATACCGTACATTAAGCATGGATACGTTTAGTTTCTAGATGGTGGCATTGGTTGGTTGGTGCTGTCGTTGAAGCTGCCTAGTATAAATTCTGTTTATATCTTGGTTTTGACATACGGTACTGGTAAAGCAGTATACGCTACAGTGTGAACGTCAGCTGCTTAGAGCATCAGTATGATTGTTGGTGTGTTGCCAACATGTTTCCAATACCACACATGTGACGGTTCTGAATCTCCTTAGAGAACCCTCTACAGGCGATATCCCTTGAAGAATTTCCCATATCGATGCCCGTTCATCTTCAGGCTGTTGGGCTGAGATAGCCCTTAGGATCTTTGCAAGGGATAACTCTAGGTGAAGTAGTTGTAACAGCGGAAGCGTTTAGTGAAGAATTGAACCGACCTTGCACTGGTGGTGTGAGAGCAAAGTTGATTGAATTAAACAAGCAAATACAAGGATTTATATAAGAGTACAAGGAATAGATAGATAACTGTATTCTGTTGCGGTTCGATATAGCGCGACTCGGGCAACTGCTCTGTAACGAGTCAGTTGTGTGTCCTTAACTGTCGCGCTGTAATTGTCGAGTCAAAGGTCAGCGACCTTTGACTTTCTCGTAACCTCCAGGCGGTTACCCTAACCTCCGAGGTTGACTCGATGCTTCGATTGGGACTGCTTCGCTTGGTACCTTGGATTTTGATACGACAGAAGCGCACTTAGGACTTATTGTTTCCAACACTCCCCTTCGCTTCTGGAGTGTGTTACTGCTGGTGACGTGGCCTTGTCCAGTCAGCATCATGCAGTATTCGAACTTCTGCTTGCCGAGTTTCTTGGTCAAGTAATCGGCTGCCATCTCGGATGTTGGACAGTATGACAGATCGAGTTTCCCTTTTTCTATCTCGTCCTTCACGAAGAAATAGCGCAGGGCGATGTGTTTCGTCCTGTTTGCGAAGCCGTTTTTGTTGGCGATGCGAATTGCTGACTGGTTGTCGCAGAACACGGGAAGCTGGGTAACTCGGCTAGCTTCGCTTCTTCCAGTAGTTCGCGAAGGTAAAGTCCCTCCTTGGTGGCTGAGCAGAGTGCAATATATTCTGTCTGCTGAAGATAGTGCGATTAACTCCGCTTGCTCGACTGCCAGGAGATAGGACCGATAGGCTCAAGGCGGTAGACATAGCCGGTGCGTGAGCGCCTGTTGTCGGTGTCGCCGGCGTGATCGGCGTCGACGTAGCCGATTAGCTTAGTCGGTGTAGCTGCGCTCTTGTGGTAGGTTAGCCCGATCGTCGCGGTGCTGACGAAGTAGTGGAGAGCGCGATCAAGTTCCGCCAGGTGTTCAGCTTCAGGCTTCTTGAGATAGGTGGCGAGCTGACTTGCGGAGTAGGATAAGTCAGGACGGCAGGTGACGGCGGCGAATAGCAGGCATCCGAGCTTCTTCTGATAGTCGCGTATGCCGGCGGGCTTGAGTAGAGTAGTTCGTTCCTTCTCGTTCCTGATGTGTGTAGCGGTAGGGCGTGGAGATGGCGCTTGGTGTGAGGCTGAAGCGTTTCGCGATGGTGTCGGCGTATTTCTCGGCGCTTAGATAGATGGCGTTTTCTTCTTCGCGGATGTTGAGCCCGAGGTACTGTGTAACGGTGGAGGAGACCGTGAGCGTGAGGTCTTTCTGGAGCTCTCCTTCGAACCACGTGGCGATGCCGTCGGTTGACCCAATGTAGAGGAGATCGTCCACGTAGACGATCAGGAGAACGTAGTCGCTTCCCTTAGTGAGGCGGTACATGCCTTGGTCGTGAGGTAGTTGACTAAAGCCGATGCGGATGAGACGGGCGTGCAGGTACTGCTGCCACAGTCGCGGTGCCTGCTTGATCCCGTAGAGCGACTTAAGTAGTTGACAGATTCGGTTGGGTTCGCCGTGGGGAACCGTGCGGGAGCTCGACGTAGATTTCTGCATCCACAGGTGCGTAGAGGAAGGCATTCGCGACGTCGATCTGCCGTAACTTCTTCTTCTTCATGGCGGCAATGGCGAGGAGAATTCGGAGTGACGTGTGGCGGCTGACTGGAGCAAAGGTCTCGGTGAAGTCTCGTCCTTGCTCTTGGTCGAATCCACGTACGACCCAGCGTGCTTTGAATTTTTCGATCGTGCCGTCTGCTTTCGTCTTGATGCGGAAGACCCATTTCCCGGTAAGGATGGTTTTGTTCCGTGCCACGCTTACGGGAACAACCTTCCAAGTGTTGCGTTCCTCTAATGCCTTCAGTTCTCTATCCATGGCTTCACGCCATTTCTCCCTGTGTTCCCCCCCCAGAGCCTGCTGAACCGTTGCAGGCTCCTTAGGAAGCGAGCTGCGTGTGTTCCCGTGGACTGCGGTGACGAGGCCGAGGATTTGCAGCCCAGTCTGTGAGTATCGAGGGAGTTCTGGATCCTCGGGATAAGCTGCTTCGTCTCCCGTTTCTGGGTCGGGCATGAAATTTGGCCCTACCCTTTCTGCTTCGTTGGTGTTGACTGTCACAGGTGTTACGTAACCATCGTCGGCGAAACGGTAGAAGATTTCGGCGTTGTTACTGTCGCGAGGATTATCCTCATCCATGGGCACGTCGACGGAGCAGTATGGGAGAGGTCCGGCTTCTTCTGAGGCGTTGTCGACGTTCTGTTCATCCCAGTCTGCTTCGTCCGCTGCTGACGCGAAGGCTCGGTCACCACGAAAACCACTGGTGAGGTCCCGATTCTCGTGCGAGTTGGCGAGGTACGTCTGAAGGGTGAGTCTTTCGTAGAAGATCACGTCACGTGCTGCTACTGTTTCCTTTGTGTGGACGTCGAAGATTTTCCATGCGTTGTAATTTTTCTCGATGCCGAGGTGTAGTCCCCACTGTGCCCGTTGCGAAAATCTTCCCGCTCGTGCTTCTGGGGGTCTGTACTGTACCATGCACCCGAAAACTCGTAACATTTTCGTGCTGCCCTGCTTCCCTGTCCACAGCAGATGCGGTGATGCGTTGTTCGGGAGTGACGACGACGACAACAAGTTGTGTAGCATGACAGCGTGGTCCATTGCTGCTGGCCACTGGTGGTTGGGTAGCCGCATGCCACGTAATAGTTTGCGCATGCTGTTCTGCAGGGTCCTGTTCAGTCGTTCTGCAACACCTTGCTGCTGATGTGCGTAAGGAAGGGAGAGGAGTTGCTTGATCCCCCTTTCCGCCAAGAACTGCTTGAAGCGGTGAGAGGTGTACTCGCCACCTCCGTCTGACTGGAATTTTTTCAGTTGTGTTCCAGACTCTCTCTCTGCTATCGGTAGCCAGGCGGCGAATGCTGTGAGCGCCATGTCGCGGCTGGGTAGGTTGCGATGCCAGACGTATCGAGTGGCGGCGTCGATGAAGGTGATGGTGTAGTTGTAGTTGACTTGTCCTGGCTCGCGATTGTAGAGGATGTCGCTGTAGACTTTTTCTGAGTGGTGCGTACGCTGGAGCGCTCGGGTTGTGATGTGAAGCAAACGGTCGATGAGGTAAGTCAGCTTCGGGACATATAAGGCAAGTCCCTCGTGCCTTCTGGAGTTCTCTGCCATCGGGTAGAAGTAGAGAATCTTTGTCAAGGACTCCTGCTCTTATCGTGTTATTCAAAACCGTGTTACTTGGATGTCCTGTTCGTGCGTGCCAGATCTCTTCAGAGGCACGGTGTCCAGGTGAACGCTGATATGCGTCGGAGTTGGAGTAAAAGCTGGCGACGAGGTTGGCGCTTCGGTGGACTTCACGTTGAGTCGGATTCAGCTGTTTCGCGGGTGTTGGTGGTGCTTCGTCGACTGTGACTGGTGTCGTTGTTCCTGCTGCTGCTGATGTTGTTGCTGCTGCCGATGTTGTTACTGCTGCTGATGTTGTTGCTGCTGCCGATGTTGTTACTGCTGCTGATGTTGTTGCTGCTGCCGATGTTGTTACTGCTGCCGATTGTCGAATTGTTGCTAATGCTCGTGTTCGTTCTGCTTCAGGAATGGTGTGCGAGTACCAGAAGCCTCCTGGGCTGAAGTCGGGGTCGAGATCCGGAGGGTGTGTCCAGTCAGTGAAATTCACGATGGCGTCGCTGTCTGCAGTGCCCAGGTCAGGAACGAAGTCGAGGACGAAGACGTTGTTCTTCAGCACTGCTTTCCCGATGTAGAGACCGCCTCTCCCGTGGTAAAGTTTGAACTCCTGGGTCGTGCTGTCGGCTTCCAGATGAATTCCTTTCGCCATCAACTGGCTAACGCTCAGTAAGTTGTAGCCGAGTCCTTCAGCGATGAGTACCTTAGACA